GTGTCTGGAGAGAGGGAGGTCTGGGCATCTTTGCTTAGACTGCTGCCCCCGCGACCCGGCCCCGGATAAGCGGAAGAAAATGGATGGATGGACTTACAAATGCACAGCCATTCTCCTTAGTTAACATCTGATGATGCTGTTGATCATGTACATTTTGGCAAAAATAATTCAATCACCGGTTTTAAGGGGAAATGCAGTGTGTGAGATCATCCACAGCATTGAGGTCTCATTAGGATCCGGATTCTTCTTATTAGCACTAGAGTGAGTTCAACCGATGTGGCAAGCTGTGTCAGTTAGGTGAGGGATCACAGTGTAGAGGGTAGGGGAGGGGGAATATTACTGCAATGATTTGGATGCTGCTTGTATCTCTTCATATCTGAATAATATATGTTGTATTCTGTTTAATTCATACTGGATAATTACATGTACTCACAGTAAAAACTTTCTCTGGCTGCCCTTTGGCCCTCCAGTTGGTGTCATGAACCTGCTTCAGGATCATCCACGCTTCATCATGCTTGGCATTCTGCTTAAGACACACATGAATGCAGATATGCATACAAGCATGCACACAACAATGCAGAAAGAAGACACAAGAAAGACTAAGCATCTAATGTGCAAGTTCATCAACATAAACACACAGACGTTTGCACATAATGCATGTTTACAATATTTAACTTCCAACAAAGTCCACTGCTTAACCATCATCAGAAGCAGTGAGCACTGAACTAGGTGTTCATGCATCTGCAGCAGTCTGCATGATGAAGTGTACATTATCTGGTAGGATGGTTCAGATTTAAAGAAGACCACTGACTCATTTATACTGTGAGCAGTGTGCTAGCTTTTCAAGGCGTTCAGAAAGTGGCTAAGCAGAAGCCCACTGTAAACAAGTCCACAGTGTCACCTCCAGGAGGAAGCGGGGGCTCTCAGGCATGAAGGTCAGTCCAACCAGGGAGGCGATAGCAGGACAAGCTGCAGCCAGGACGAATACCCTCCAGCTGTGGAACTGGAACTCTGTGCCCATAGTGAAGCCCCAGCCTGAAAATGTATGTCCACACACAGAAACATATGAGTATTCTTTTGACACCATCAAACCCCTTGATAATTCACAGTGTTCACAACTGTAAAGATTTAAAAAGAATACAATAAAGCAAAACACTTGGATGCAAATCATTGTATCCTGAAGTAGCAGCAGCAGTGGACGCAGAAGTAAACTTCCTCTGGACTGAAGCTCAATGGATCTGCCCATCTAAGGCCAGGTGGGGTCGGGGGTCTGTGGTACTTACTGAAGGTTTCACCATCCTACACCTATGTCCTAAACCCATGTTACACACCAGTTCTACATATTATACTATGGAGTACATACGAACCATTATATTGTTTTAGGAGGTAGGCTACTATATGAAAAGCAGTGCACCTAACCAAACCAAATGAACCAAAAATTATGAAATACCTAGGAAATATAGAATCATTCCTACATAATCCACATCCTGCTTGCTTTTAAAAAATAAAATAAGTCCAGCTTTATGTAGGAATGATTCTATATTTCATAATTTTGGTTCATTTAACTTCTTCCAAATGTTATAGCAAATGTAAGTGTGTCACCTATAGAATTCTCCGTCACCCCATCTGTATGTAAGGTGGAGTCCAGGGCTGAGAAAACTCTGTATTAGAGGTCGCCATGTCCCAGTTTCCTCACTAGCAGTGTTAAAGCAATGATGTACAGTATTGTGTCTTAATGCTCTTTTAGCTCTTACCATATCTTGGTATGATGCACCAGGCAGTGAACGAAGCGTAGATTGCACCAATCATCCAAAACATACACAACCAGGACAGATGCTCACCTCTCTTGTCCATCTGAAGAAACTCAGAGAAGTACGAGTACACAATCGGCACTGTACCCCCAATGCTGACAGCAGTGACAGATAATGAGAAAGTAATGAGAGAGAGAGGGATAATTACAACTAATGATTTAAAAATACAACCACAACATCAATGTAAACCAACTTTTTGTAATGGAGGAATATGTACACCTCTAGATTTTTGATGGATTGAAGCTATTCCTACTGAGATGAACTTAATTCACTAGAAGATGCCCTTCATGAGGATGTTTGCCATGACAGGAGGACTATTCCAGTGTATATCAAAGAGTACAAGAGGAGCCACAAAGTCAGGATGTAGCAAACTTGAACAGACAATGAGGAGTGTGAACAATGGCCTTGCTTCTCTTGGAGACACCAAAGGATTTGTTGTGTGAACTTTCCCATGGCAAAAAGACCAAAAAGTCTTATAGATGTTGGTACAGAGGTATTACATGCAGCACAGAGGCCAAGCATGACAAAGTATCTCTGCTTCTAAGGTGAGCGCCACTCTGGTACACGCTGTTAGTGGCTGCGTGTCTCTTTTACTCTGGGACCTTTGTGTTAGTGTGGCTCCCTGAAGAGCACAGTTATTCTGAGCTGGAACACCTGCTGTGTCACTGCCATAGAACACGAACCAAGCTCTGCATTAACTGTGTGGAGCATGGTTTACTGTATGATCGCTATGTTAAACATCTGCAACTACAGCTGAGATACTTGTTACACTTTAGAAAGACCAGCTGAATAAAAGCGATACTGCAGAAGGAAATGTTACACATCGTTTGACAGCGAAGGGGCCTCCAGTGTGCACAAATCCTTTTGGGTCAGAGTATACTGCACACAACACCATTACGCAAGTTTATACCTAACAGAGATAAAAAGGAAAAAATGATCTGCACTCAGGGCACATAGGCCATGTCTTCCAGGAGTGTACATACTCCAGTTGGAAACAAATTAAACTCTCTGAGTTCTGTTTTCCTTTGCTATGCAGTGTTCCTCTGGCATATGTCTGCTTTTTGTGCACATTGGTGTGTTTGGTATTTTTCTGTCATGAATGAAAGCACTTGTGCTGAAGTGTGAGGACATCACAGCTGAGGCTGTGTGTTTGCTGATTGGCAGCAGAGAGTGACAAGGCCTGCTCACGTCAATTCCTATTTTAGTCACAGGTGCATTTGCAATTTTCCTGACACATGCATGGGCTGGGAAGCACAAGATCAGGTGGGTTTTAATGGCCGTGCCAACTTAAAATTAACCCTTAAATCCACAACTGATCTGCTGGAATTCAGCCAAGATAAATAACAAACACCCTGCAGACGCCTCCAATAATGCTGTTACGCAACAGGTAAATAAGTTCGACCTCACTGTAGCTGTTGAGCTACAGTTTCTCCAAATGAACAGGTTTCACACAGACATACTGTCGTTACTACAGTGGGGATACATGTTATGTCAGTTTGTGCATTTCTTGCTGGTTTGATCAGCTTTAAAAGCAGTTGTGATGGACCACAGTGAGTGATTACAATATGATTTTACTGTATTATTTTAAAACAGGCTACATGTGGATTTCACACACTTGGATGCAGCTGTGAGCCAACTACACTCTAAACTGCTGCTGGTTCCAGGACCAGAGACTTTCTATCTTCTATGCACAAAAACTGCTCAGTGATATCAGCAGACTACGTCAATATATTATTTTTATACTGCTGCATTTGCTGCACAAGTGCCTTAGATTTTGTGTTACTTATTTATCTACTTTATATTTCATTTGTATTTTGTGGCATTCATGTGAACAGCAAAGTAAGAATTTCATTGTACAGGGAGACATGTTTCCTAACTGTGCATATGACAAATAAACACTCTGACTTGACTTGACTTGAATAGGTTTATCACTGTCAGTTTAGGAACGGGGGACATAACTATCAAGAGAAGAAGTGTCATGTTCAGCATGACTTCCTGGTTCCAGGGCAGACTGCTCTCTCACCCTGGTTTCATCTCTGGTTGATTCCACTCTGCATCCAGGTAATTGGCCACATCTGTTGCTTTTTCACTCCACACTATTTAATCCGCTCTGCTTCAGCTTCAGTCCCAGACAGTCTGTCACTGTCTATATGCTGTCCCACTGTTCCAAAGACAAGCAGCTTAGGTTGACTGGTGACTCTAAACTGCCTAAACTGCCCGTAGGAGTGAGTGTGTGTGGTTTGTCTACATGTCAGCCCTGGCGACCTGTCCAGGGTAGACCCTGCCTCCTGCCCTATGTCATCTGGGATTGGCTCCAGCCCCCCACAGCCCTGTTCAGGATTAAACAGTTTGGATAATGGATGGATAGATTAATCCAAAATATAATCTAGTAAAGTTACCAGAGAGCTGAGAGCTTATCTTGTTGTATTAGCATCAGCCAAACATAACTGTTACCATTACATTCCAACAACAGAAAATGTCTCTCCATATCTGATCTGTAGCAGAATGAGCAGTGAGGCAGACAGCGTGGTAACAAAGGGGCCCACCTGCCGGCCCAGTCTGCTTGACTGAACTTGCATTTTTGTTGTTTAGTTGAATATTTTGAATAAAGTCTGTTTATACAGGCCACGCCTGTCTTCTGCAGAGCAGAGACAAGTCCTGGACCGTCGCCAGGGACCTCTCAACTTGTGCAGCAAACAGCACCAACTGTTTCACACCCTTATACCTTAAGTATACCAGTGGCATATAAAGTGTGGTAAATGTCTGACTGAATATGTGAGTATGCTGTACCTGCAGCTCCTTAATACTGATGTAAACCTACGCAAGTTAAAGCTGAGTTTTAATGTGCTGAAGCACAAAGCCTGAAAATATGCAATTGTCCTAATAATTATGAAATAATGTTAAAATGTATTAACATAACAGTACAACTCAAGTTGCTCATTAATTTACTAATTAAAAATTCAGCTGATAATTGTTTAGTATTTTCCACAAGTGCAAAAATACTTATACTGAGGAAAAGTTCCAGCAAGTAATTTCTCATAAGCACTTTACTTATAAGCTATAGTTTCATCTCAACATGTGACGGTGTAAAGTAATGATGATAATGAACCATTAGAAAATGTAAATCACCGACTATGCGTAAGTCATTCATGTTATGGCATATCCATAAGTGCTAGAGGACACTTGCTTGAGGTTCTTGAAAGTGTTTTTTATCTGGTTATTTGTTTAAATATACCTCATATATGACATATATTACCGGTGCAATAAATACATTTACAGAAATGTCTTGTGCTGTTTTCTGGATAGACTTTATGCATCTTATGATACACACAATTTGTGATCATGTACGTGATACAAACTCTAGGTGGAAACTACAGATTAATGAAAAGAAGCGTGTGCAGTCATGAGTATTACCCAATGCCAGACAGCAGTCTGAAGAAGAGGAAGAAGCCATAGCCCTGAGCGAACGAGGACAGGAAGCCAAAAACACAGTTAATAGCTAATGCCTCGATCAGACAACGCCGACGGCCGACTTTATCTGCTAGGCCGCCCCACACAAACGCTCCCACCATCATGCTCAGGAAGACAATTAGACCTGGACAAAGGAAAAGAAACAGACAAAGGAGATGATAGTGGACATGAGGAAGGAGAGGAGATCTCATTGGCCACTGTTCATTTAGGTCCTTGAAGTGGAGAGGGTGAGCAGCTTCAAATATCTGGACGTCCACAACAGTGAGGACCTCACTTGGACACTTAACACCACACAGCTGGTCAAGAAGGCCCAATGGCGGCTGTACTTCCTGAGGGGGCTGAGGAGGTTTGGCATGTTGCCTAGGATCCTTTGCAACTTCTACAGCTCCATCATTGAGAGCATCTTGACCAGCTGCATCACTGTCTGGTATGGCAGCACTACTGCTATAGATCGCAAGCGCCTGCAGAGAGTGGTAAGGACTGTGGAGAAGATCACCAGGACTCCACTGCCCTCTCTGCAGAGCATTTACCACTGCAGAGTGTGTAAAAAAGCTGCCGCTATCCGCAAAGATCCCATCCACCCCCAGCACGGACTGTTTGCGTCTCTACTCTCTGGCCAGAGGTTCAGAAGTGTGAAATGTAGGACCACTAGACTGAAAAACTCTTTCTTTCTGACTGCCATCAGACTCCTAAACAGCTGAGGAGTTTATTACCAGGAAATACGTGATGTACTGTTTACATTCTCAGTTTGCACATGCATTACTGCACATTGACTGTTGACTGCTGCATATGCTGCTCCAATGCAGCATACATTCTCTTATTATATTCTTATATATTTTTATCATATTGCTGCATTTGCTGCTTAAAGTGCCTTAGATTTACAGTACACTCACCTGATTTGATTTGTGGCATATCAGACTCATACTTTGTTGTCCAATATGAATGTCTGGGCAATATTTACAGTGACTGGGGTGAAAATGTTCAAATCTATCACTGCTTCTACAAGAGATCAACAAGGGAACTGAAAAGAGTATGACCTGTTTGGTTGTTATCAATATTTTGTAACAAAGAAAATACAGCTAAAGTGATGCAGTTACTACCAGGATCATCATAAGAATGTGAACCTGTTGCCATGACAGGGGCACGCCAAACCATTAAATGTTCCCACGTGGAGAATACCTCTACTGTCAATAAAATCAATGATGATGCAGGTTTGAAAAAATGCAGACAAAGGGTCTTGCCAGAAAACGTCTTTATGAAACAACAAATAGACAGAATAGCAACAAAATCAGAGAAGGATACCACAAGGACAATGTGAAGTGCAGAGCGGCACTATCAGCTACTTAGATTGTTTAAAGCACAGTGATCTACTGCTACTGCTAGCCCTGTAGCTAAATTTGTACTGTTTTGTACAGCGCACACCAGGAGTTTCTACTTGAGTTTCCAGTTTTCCCACCTGGTGTCTGAATGTTGGTTTACTTTTGGGAAACAGTGACCACCTACTGAAATCATCCAAGGTTATTTTGTTTGTTTATAGAAGTTGGTGAGGTCCACACAGTTGTTTCTTAGCCCCTGATGATGGGGTGTGCTGTCTTTTTACCAAGACTGTATGTTGATTTATTCTGTCTGTTCTATTGCATGTCTGTTTGTCCTGGAAAAGGGATCCCAGCTTTGCTGCTCTCCTGAGGTTTCATCCATAGTTTTTCCTTGTTAAAGGGTTTCAGAGGGTCTTAGGACAGGTGTCCTTGTATGCCATAGAGATTTTAAAGCCCCTTGAGGCAGAATGGTGATTCTTGTTGTTGGCTTTCCGCTGTGGATCAATTACATTGTGTTTAAAGTGCTTTAGAAATAAAACTGGATAGATAGATACTTGGGTTTTATTGAGAAAACAGGCAAACAGAGGAAGTGTTGAGTTTGCATGAAAAGCAAATTAAAACAGGCGCAGAGGTGAACATTCATAAGAATGTATTGTTATTGTTATTGTCCTTTGTAGTGAGAAATGTTCAGATTTTATTGACATCGATCCAGATGCTGCTTTGGGTTTGAGTGTTCAATCACTGGCTGTGATGTGCTAAATGTCAACCACAGAAACATTCAAGTGATCATGCTGCCTCTACAGTACCTGGCTGACTGAACTGAATGATCACTCAGCTGATTAAAACATATACAGGGCCTAGAACCAATGGGAATAACCAGAGGGAACTGATGTGTCACTACATAACTAATACTCCCAGAGAAACCACGCTGTAAGCTCTTACCTAGCATCCCTTTCTCTGCATTGGACAGACACAGATCCTTTTCTGCAGATGGCAGAACAAATGCGACCACAAAACATTCAACTCCGTCAGCCATGAGAGCCAAGCCCAGCACCACAAAAAGGGTCCACTGGAACTTCCCGTGGCCACAGTCCTCCATGATGTCTTCATATTGTTGAGATAATTCTTCTAGTTCAGAAACTGCATTTCCAGCAGCTCGAGCTTTAGCTCTGAGACACAGAAAGAGAAGCAAATTTAGAAGTCGTAAAGATGGCATGGAAATATAGTAGTACATTTATACCAAAGTTTGATTCATCTTATGCTGTCCTGAATATCTTTAATTGAAAGAGATCTGCTTCTGGTTTTGTCAAGGGAACTCAAGCCCTTAAATAATGAGGTATTTTGATTGTATTTCATTAAAATAATTAGTCAGAATTAGGGGACTGATAGTGCTGAATGTCTGACCACATAGCCACTGTTCAAAATCCTGGTGCTGTGTCATGGTTAAAAACGACAGAAACAGGAGAGGCTGTATTTAGAGACTTTACACTGCTGTCAACCTAGCAGGTTTATGAACCAAGCGGTACACAGGTTTAACTGTGGGCAAACTCAATCTACAAACCACAACTACTTCCATTCATGTAATAATCAGGGACAGACTGTAAAGTTAATCCTTTCTAAGACAGTGAAATTATTCCATTAATGCCAATTATGCCAATGTCTATTTAGTGTTCTGCAGTTCTTGTCAGTCACCTGTCCCCATACTCTGTCTTTGAACCATCCACTGATGGAAGTGTCAGCTAAAACAATTTGTCATTAAAAGCAAATTTAAAGACCCTGAAAACCACAGAAGAATAATCTGATAAGTGTCATAAATACCAGGCTTCTGAGCCGACCCGATGGTTGGTGCTTGTATAGGCTAGTTCATCTAGTTTTGTATTGTACTGAAAGTGACAGCTTGGACTAACCACAAACAGATTTGAAAACTGAAGTCTGGAGTGTATTGAGTGTGGGCATTCACTTGCTGTTGCACATACTGAAGTTCTTTTGAATCATTTCAAATATGAAAATAAATTTAACAAGCTTTTATCAGAGTTATGTTATCAGTGTCACGCTAGACTAGGACCCAAGATGAGGTTCTACAGGAATGCTCACCCATTCTTTAGCACATTTAATTGTGTATTATCAAGACTGATTGTTGTTGTGTCTTGTTGCTTTTCTTCTTCTCTCTCTTCTCTATCCACTCACCCAAACCGGTAGAGGCAGAAGGCCGCCCACCAAGAGCCGGGGTCTGTCAGAGGTTTCTTCCTCCCCACTGTCGCCAAGTGCTGCTCAGGGGGATTTGTTCGGTTTTCCTCTATAATAATAGTGAGGTCTGACTTTGTAAAGTGTCCTGAGACGACTTTTGTTGTGATTTGGTGCTATACACTAAAATTGAATGCAGTGGCCATCTGCACATTTCTCTGTGGGTTCTGTTACATTTTCATTGGAAAAAGACCAAATATACTGTGCCTCACCGTGCAGCTCTATGTGCAGCCTTCACCTCATCAGGATGTGGTATCCCTTGATATTCTCCTTCATACATCTGATCCTCTTCATCATGTCCTTCAGTCACATCACTGGCTGCGTCCTCTTCCTGGGGAGGGTAATCTGCTTGGTAGCCACATCCATTATAGCCACCACCCTCTCCATAGGTCCCATAGCTGTCAACCCCCTGATCAGCCATTTTGGCTTACTAAGCCTGCTAGGCTGATTGCTAATTTTAGTAGAAGGCTGTTGTCTGGCTTGTCAGTCTTGTGTTAAATTTTAGAAGCAAGTGATTGAGACAAAATGACACTTAGATCTTTTACACAAGAATAAGTTGGCTAAAAATGCCAGTGATGCTAGTCTCATAGCTTTTGGTTCCAATGACTGTGTTCCTCTGACTGGATTTTAGTTAGTGAACAATGGTGTGTGGTGATAATGATGAGGTGCAAATTCAAATACTTTGCTGTGCAGTGCAGCTTATTCAGTTGTGATTTCCAAGAAAAGATCAGATATTCTGATTAGAAATTATTTCTAGGTGGAAATTCTTCATGTAGTAAAATGTATGTGTCAGTTTCTGGTTTTCATTGTTGTGGTGGCCCTGGTAGTGACTTTAGAGTCTGGTCAGATCTCATCTTTCAGTCCTGAAAACAGAAAAATTCCAGTTAGTTTATTTGAGAGAGAGACCAGACGGGACAGTACCTGTGATAAGTGATGCCAGAAAGAGTGCTACCATCATGGAACACCATAGTGGCTTTTCCATTATAGGAACCTACTGACACTTGTCGAGCCGAGTAACACTCATCTGCTCGTTTCCACTGCCCACCGCCCACTTTGTAGGTGCATTCTGGGAGGTACATTTCAGCACTTCTCATGAGGTAGTACTAAAATCAGGTTCCAGGAACACAAGGGGGGAGGGGGTGCGTGCATGCAGAGCAGTCACCTGTGATTGGATAAATGTCTGCTCTTCATACCTCAGGCATTAGCATTACAAGCACAGTGTGTAAGGTAGGTAGGTAGGTAGGTAGGTAGGACTTTATTGATCCCACAATGGGGAAATTCCTGTGTCCCAGCAGCAATAGAGAGCAGCAACAAAACACCATAAGAACTAACATGTTAGAAATTAATAAATTAGTCAGATTATTAGACTTTAATGTGTGTTAGTAATGCACTAACCTCACTAATCTTACCAGAAATGTAGTTGTCAGGTTTCAGGAGCAACTGGCAGCCACTTCTCTTATGTTGTATCAGAACAGATTGGCATTAAACTTCATTCTGATTGAAAAAGGGGGTGTTTGTACTATGTGTAGCAAATCCCCATTATTGTTATTTGGTTTATTATACGTAGGCACCGTCGTCTTATGCATTTATGTCAGGCATCCATACAGTCCAGCATCATCAATAGTTAGCACTATGATTGGGCAACAGTGTTGTACTTACATCTTAAATAATACTGCTCCTGATGGCTCTATTGCTAAGGTTGAAATTTATCAGAGGAGATGGCTGACCATTCGGAAATTAAAAATTGCATTTATGATTGGTTTGTTAAAATTTTTGGCAAGTGGAAAAATTTAGTGATTTTTTTGCTTACATCTTTTGTGGCAGCAGTTACTTTGCAGTCCTTGTGTGGATGTGCTGCACCCTCTGCATTAGGCATCTTTGTCTAAAGTGTATCACCACTGCCACTGATAATAGATATCCCAATATCCATGGGAAACCATGCCCAATGATCTCACTCACTGAGCCCGGTAAGTTTGAGGTTGAAGAGGACCCCTAGACGGGGAAGAAGACCGTGACCTCTCTACATACTATTGCTAAGGGTTAACACATACCCACATATATTCTTGTATGTATTAGGCTCTGTGTTTCCGGGGTCTCTCTTCTCCAGCAGCTTGTGTGAGGGAGGGAGCCACCCGGGTTTGTGCTTCTGTAACTTTTATTTGTGGTCTTTTTTAAATAAACCAGCACTAAAATGAAGCAAGTTGGACTCCGTCTTCATTCAGATCTGTTCAATTAAAGAACTGGTGTATAACAAACACCACACACATATCTTAAGAAACAAATTCCAAAGTGCCTAAAACCAAACGGAATATAGTATTTGAGAGACAATCAGGAACAAGAATGATCCTCCCACAATTAATCCCTGAGAACAAATCAAAATACCTAAGAACAAGACAAAATATAGTATTCAAGAGATCAAGAAATCAAGGACAAGAATATCACTCCCATAATTAATCCCACAATGGAGGAAATACCTGTATTTCAGCCATGAGGATCTCTGAAAAACTACTCAAAAATACCTAAAACAAGACAAAAAAAAAGTATTCAGGAAAAATAAAGTACAAGATTTTACACATGCGCATATTTACAATGCATTTTACCCCCAGGATTTGAGTATTGCACCTCAGTCGACTATTGCATAATCCCTCATAATTTCACCTAGCTTATCCCTGCAGTGATGTGTTGTACAGTCTGATTACTGTGGGGAGGAATGACCTGCGGTAATGCGCCTTCTTACACTGGGGATGTAGCAGTCTTGTGCTGAAAGAACTGTTCAGAGCCTCCACTGTGTGGTGCAGGGGATGGGAGGGGTTATGCATTATGGATGTTAGTTTTGCCAGAATCCTTCTGTCCACCACCTCCTCGATGGAATCCAGGGGGTAGCCCAGGACAGACCCAGCTCTCTTGACCTCCTGCCCAACCCACAACAGCGCAAAAAACTGTGTAAAGAGACACTTACAGTCGTTTAGAGGCAAAACGAGCTTCAGTAAGTGGACTGTGGGCAAAGAGATGCAGATGTCACATTTCTGTAAGTCTGTTTTACTTGTTCAACAGCTCTTAGGTTCCATTAGTGGAAAGATAAATTGGAATTTAAAGGAGAGGAGAGGAAAGGAGAAGTGAGGGGAGATGAGAGGAGAGGGCAGGAGAGGGGAGAAGAGGGGGGAGAGGAGAGGAGAGGAAAGGAGGAGAGAGGGGGAGAGGAGAAGAGAGGAGGAACTCAGAGCATCATTACCCCCCCAGCAGTCTAGGCCTCCAGCAGTCTAACTAAGGGAGACTGTTCCACAGTGGAGAGCGGCTCAGCTGCTGTAGTTTGCTGCCTGCATCCCGGCATCTCCTCCTGGACACAGAATGTGGCTCAGGAACAGGCAGAGACTTGGGTTGCAGTGGCTGGACTAGAGAGGAGCTGTTCACACTGGACTGGAGCTGTGTTTTGATGGTTGACCAGTCCAACTGCTCTCTCTAATAATTGACAGTGCTCGCATGTGGCCTGTATAGTGGCCATCAACTGCGTTTCAGGTCTCGCCATTAACCAAAGGCTAGCACGACGAAGTTCCTCAAGCCTGGTGCATTTCTTTACCTACTGCCAAGCATCTAAAGTGGTGACAAGTTGTGTGCACAGAGCTTGAAACACTGGGCCAACAAAGATGGCACATTTACAGTCATGGGATGCTCTCTGATTTGGGGCTTCTTGAGTTCAATCGTAAATTCACTAAATGGGAAAGTTTTTTTACTGAAGAAATATCCCCCATTAAAACTGTCCATGGCGAGATGCGTTAAAATGTCCACATCAATAAACGTTAATCAAATAAATAAAAGTACAAATAAAGGTACTGTGATACACTATTGTTGTTTCATACCAGCCATAGTTGCACAACCATAATGTTGTATCTCGAGTTACTTAATTCAGTCATGTACCAGTTTTCAGTCATATACTGTGCTGAAGGATTTTCCACTTTGTTTCATCGCCCCTAAAGCAGATTATTGTGATAAAGAAAAGCCCTGGCCGTGTGGCTTCTTCTACTTATGAGGCCCTTGATGAAGACAGACCATTACTCCGATTATGTAATACATAATATCTTTTGACACAGCTTGACATATTTTTTCTCACTCAACCTGACTTTTTTCACCTTCTTAAACATCGTAGGCAACATAAATTAAGTTTGGTCGAAAACAGCTCTTATATATTATTTTGGTAGAGGTAAAAAAGAATCTTTCCATATTTGATTTAGATGCAACCTCCCCATCCTGTTACATTTGTTAGGCCTCACAGTGCTCACATGCAAATTCTACTCAGCTGGGCAATATACATATGTCCAGTCCGCTCGGCGCAACCTGCCTCTCTTCTGCTTTTCTCTTACCTGCTCGCTCTTTTTGCGGGATCCGCGCCCCAGCTGTCGCTTTCTGTAATTAGTGACTTGTGGGTTGTCGTGTACAGCTGGGGCGCATTACTGTAATACCTTCCTCTTTATTTAAACCTCTGGCAGATGCTCCCTTGTAGCCGGAGCATTACACTATGTGAGACATGGACAGGTTGAGTGAACACAGAGGTTTTTGTTTTTTCTTGTTTTTGTGTAATATAGGGCCACACATTGTTGGAATACTTTCCTAGCCATGTGTATCTGATGGCGATGCCGTGATTACCTCTGGTGAACTTTCCTATCCATGTGTATCTGACAGCGATGCCGTGATTACCTCTAGAGGAACTTTCCTAGCCATGTGTATCTGACGGCGATGCCATGATTACCTCTGGTGAACTTTCCTAGCCATGTGTATCTGACGGCGATGCCATGATTACCTCTGGCGTACTTTCCTAGCCATATGTATCTGACGGTGATTTTCCCAGCCGTGGGTACTGGATGGCTAGTGCTTCAGTGAGCGCTACACTAGCCCTGTCTTTTCATTCCTGTGTCCCTCCTGTCATCTCACCCATCGCCGTTCTCCTGTCTACTCGCCTGCCTTGTCCTGGTCCTCTACTCTCCTGTTTCCTGCAATCCTCCTACTCATCTGCTCATCCTAGACTCCTCAGCCATCCCTGTCCTACCCCGGTTATTATACTATACGTTGACACTTTTACCTTGTTTGTGTTTTTTTCCCATTAAATCACCTTTTCTTACTAGCACCTGGGTCTGCATTCTTGAGTCCTACATCAGTTCTCCCTCACCCTCCTGGTGATGGGGACTAAATCATAACAGAATGCTCCGGCCCACAATGGACTCAGCCAGCCCAGGTGCTAGCTTTCTCTCATCTCCATTCGCCAGCCATGGACTGAATCAGCCCCGGTCTCTGATCGCAGAGATCTACCTTAGCCCAGCAGATGCTCAGGACATATACAAGCAACTAAAAGCACAAATGTATTCCCCCTTTTCTTTTCTGTCTGAGGTAGCTCCCAAGCCCTCACCACCTCAAACGGTTTTACCCTCCATGTGGCTGGGTGCCTTTTCTCTGTCTCCAGTTCCCAAGCCTGCTCCAGTTTCCACTAGTTTTGCCTCATCACCCTTTGCTGGTACGCAGTTGGCCCTTTGTCCAGGTGGTCCTGGAGGGAGATGGAGCAGGGGAAAGGGTCGACACCAGCCAGCTTCCCAGCAGTCCAAGCCATCGCTGCAGCTCCAACCCCAGCTGTCTAAGCCATTGCTGCAGCTCCAGCCCCAGCTGTCTCA